ATATATAACTATGCAAATGTTTCAACAGGATGACTCCAAAGATCGGCTTCCCCTGGAGTGAAATAAGAAACATTTCATTCAATGACAAGAAATTTGTCATCAAGCCAATAGACAAGAAATCCCCGGTAAGCAAACAAAACATGACCATTTCTATTAAGGGTTTGGTACAGTGCATGTCCAGGCCATAATTAAATGGAATTAATTTTGTATACATTTTTGTGGAGTTTATTAAAGGTGCCACTGAAGTAGATTGTTATCATCGGCCTGTTAGTCTTCCATTTTCATCATCATGACTTTTAATTTATTATTCCTCATGCATTTTCAAAAAAATACACAAAAACAGACGGTTTGTTTGAAAATATGACATTTGGTAGTAGTTTGACATTCGGCATAGACAAAATTTACAAAATAAATCCCATTTTCTTACAGTACAATAATTGGGTTTTAGTCCAACAATCGAGGAAACTGCCATTTCTGTAGCTCTACAGCTCAGATATATATAACAGTATAAACATTTTTATTTTATTTTACCACAAAATCCTCAGCTTGAGCGAGATAAAGTCACACATTAATTTAAACTCACTCTAACTCATTCCAACTCACTCTATCTCTAACTCATTCCAACTCACTCTATCTCACTCTAACTCCCTCAACCTTACTCTTAACTCATTCTAACTCATTCTAACTCATTCTAATCCATTCTAGCTCACTTTATCTCACTCGATTTCACTCATTCTACCTCAATCTAACTCATTCCAACTCTCACTCTAACTAATTCTACCTTACTCTAAGTCATTCTAACTCATTTTATTCTATTCTCACTCACTTTATCTCACTCCATTTCACTCATTCTAACTCACTGCAACTCACTCTATCCCACTTTAGCTCGCTAACAGACTCCAACTCATTGTAACTCACTCTATTTCACTCTAACTCATTATAACTCACTCTAACACATGCTTACTCATTCTATCTCAACCTAAGTCACTCTCACTCACTCCAACTCACTCTATCCCACTCTAGCTCACTAATGAACTTGTGCCAACTCACGCAGTTGCCCTCAAACTCACTCTAGCACACTCTATTTAACTTTCACTCACTTTAACTCACTCTATTTCACTCATTCCAACTCATTCTATCTCACTCTAACTCATTCTACCTTAACTCATTCTAACTCACTCTTTATACCACTCACTATACCTCACTCTAACTAATTACACCTTACTCTAACTAATTTTAACTATCTCTGTTTCATTCTAACTGACTTTATCTCATTCAGTTTCACTCATTCCAACTCACTCTGTCTCACTCTAACTCATTCTACCTTAATCTAACTCATTCTAACTTACTCTAACACATTTTAACTCACTCTATCTCACTCTAACTCCTTCGACCTTACTCTAACTCCTTCTTCCTTACTCTAACTCATTCTAACATTCTATTCCATTTTATCTCACTTTATCTCACTTGATTTCACTCATTCTAACTCACTCTAACTCATTCCAACGCATCTAGCTTACTTTGTTTCACTCTAACTCCCTATAACTCACTCTATTTCACTGTAACTCACTGTATCTCACACTAATTAAGTGTTGAGCGGGTGTCACTTTCCAGAACATTAAAATACAAACTTTTCTTCTCCTCACAAACTTTACACTTCTTATACAGTTTATACATCAAAACCTACATTTCAGTCCTCTTTGACCAAGTATGTTTCTCACTGCTGTATGTGATTTTTTTTGTCCAACCCCCTCCAATTTTAGAGTGCACACATACAAACTGTCATCGGTGCTGAGTCAGAATCTAATATATTTATGTATAATTGTTTTTTTTTGTTTGTTTGTTTTTGAAGTTTTACTTAAATTATTTTGTATTTTTGCATGAGCAGTTATTCAAATATATTTCTATTAAAAAACACTGTCACAGCAACCCTTTAAAGATTTTTAAGTCTTCAAAGAGATGCAAATACACAAGTTTTGCTCACTGTCAACAGGAGGTGTGACAGAATCCCATTTGTTGCCGATGAAATTATCAATTTGCGAAAGCATTAATTACAGCAACTAGAGTTTCACCAGCAGCTGCTACTTGATCTCATTTACAAACACGAGTTCAGCCCCTCCACCCGTCTTTTGACTACATGCCCAGATTTCAGGAGAGAGCCTGTGGGATTAAAACAAATAAAAAAATCTTCAAAAAACAAAATTGTCTTTAAGCTCATTCCGAGTCATCCTTTAAAGAATATAAATATATATCAAGATCTGTTTTCTTGTCATTATGGTTAATAACATTTGTTGGTGTCTTTGCTCCAGGACTTTGTTTTCTATGTTCCTCGTCTTCGCATCAACAAACGCATCCTGGCGCTGTGCATGGGCAACCATGACTTGTACATGCGCAGACGCAAACCGGACACCATCGAGGTGCAGCAGATGAAGGCCCAGGCCAGGGAGGAGAAGAACAAGAGGCAAATGGAGAGGTACATAGAGGAGGGGGACATTATAATGGAGGCCTTTAAAACTAAATAAATAATAAAAACAGTTTACACTGTGTTCCCTCTACTTTAAGGAGAGAAAAAAAAACTGTCAGAATAAAGTTTTCACTTTTTTATCAGATGTGTATTTATGCACAATTCTCCCTGTCAGGGCTCTGCTCGAGAGTGAGAAAAAAAAGCGAGAAAATGCGGAGAAGGAAACGGAGAAGATTGCTCGGGAGACCATGGAGCTGATGGAAAGATTGAGACAGATTGAAGAGCAGACAAAGAGAGCTCAAGATGGTCTGACAACCCTCTGAATACAAATGTTTATTAACTCCAGCTTTTTTTTTCTTCTTTTTTTATTTTGTCTGTTTAAGAACATCCAAGAAGTGGATCTGACTTGGAGATATCCATAAAGCTGTATTGTGTAGGCCTGTTTTGGGGTTGGGGAAGATGTGCACGTGTGAATGTTTTTTTCTTTATTTTGTATTATTATTTTTTTTCAGAGCTAGAGGAGCAGACTAGGAGGGTGCTCGAGTTGGAGAAGGAAAGAACAAGCGCTCAGGAGGAGGCAGAGCGTCTGGACAAGGACCACAAAGCTGCAGTGGAGGCTAAAGCAGCGCTGCTACACGAGTCTGAAACTCAGAGCAACAGCCAGGAAAACCTGGTACTCATGCACAAAACACTAATTTGGCTTTTGTTCATTTTCAATTGGACAGATTTATTATGAGCGGAGCCTCTCCAAATGTAACGCGTTGAACATTTCAGTGAATTGGATACAAATGTTCTTATTTCCAGAATCATTAAGTCCTCAAAGCCAAAAACAATTTTGCTCATGAACGAATTTTAAATGATTCCTTTCCTTTTTTATTTTCTTCACATTTTCAGCCAAATCGTAGCCGTCATGTAAACATATATTGTGCACGTCAGCCCATAGACACACATGCACACACCTATTCTTCCCTGCACACTTCACACGCACAAGTGGAGCACAATGACCTTAGATCAGAAGCACTCTTAACTCTTTTTTCCATTTGTGTGCATGGTTGTGCAGGCCACTGAGCTGGCAGAGCTTACCTCTAAGATCTCCCAGCTGGAAGATGCCAAGAAGAAAAAGGACGAGGAGACGAAGCGATGGCAGAAAAGGGTGAGAGAAAATTAAAGAACTCCAAGGGGGACGGAGTATGAATGGAACATGAGCAAAGAAAGACGTGTGACAGCAGAATGGTGCAAAACAGAAACAGGTTATTTGTCAAAGACTGGTATATTTTGAATAAAATGCATCATTATTGCCCCTAGGCATCATAGTTGGCTCAAGAAAACTACTAAATGTAAATACAAATTCCCCTTGGGGTTTATGAAATGGGCGTGCAAAACAGTGTGCAAATGTAGAACCACTGAAACTGTGATGCCACAGAGTGAGACACTGTTGCACTTAATCTGGAAAATTTGTATTTCAGATTTTTATTTCAATTATTAAGGATGCCAGTGCATAAGAACTGAGACTTTTATGTTTGGCTCCAAGCTCTTTAGTTTCCATCACTTTTTTTTCCCCCTTCTCTCCCCACAGTTTAAAAAGAAATCACTGAAATAAAAAAAATATATTACAAACTGTGAGAGTTGGCCGAGAATAGTGTGCTATGATATTTAACCAATTTCACAAAAAAAAAAAAAAAAAAAGCTAAAAGCTTCCTCAAAGACAACAAAGTGCTTTTGGCAAAATAAATGAGACAAGCCCTCTTTGGAGCGCCACAGATCAGACATGTGACAGAGTAGCAACATCGCTCAAAGTTTAAACTGGTGTCTTTGTTTATTATAATCCTAATAGAACTTGAATTATTTTTGGAGATTTTACCAAGAAGTGGTAAAATGGCTGTTGTGATTGTGAATTCAAAGTAAGATTGGACATGACGCACAGTTGCCTGATTGATGGATGAGCCACACGATCAGCATGGAATTGTTATTTTAAATACATTATTTTAAATTATTTAGCACCTGCTGCACCTGTGTGCAGCCCACAGCTGCAGGAGAAGCTCCCTCCTGCAGCGTGTCAGGGTCTCCGCTCTGCAGCAGAGAAGTGGGCGTGGCCGAGAGCGTGGGCAGAGAGCTGAGATCATGACGTGCTGCGTTCTTATAGAGCGTTTAGAGTTTAGAAACATTGTTTAGAACATTGCAAGAGTGTGCGAAGGGTTTCAAAAGCCTTTTTATATATGTGTGTATATATATATATATATATATATATATATATGTATATATATATATATATATACTCAATGTGGACCAACCAGTTTGCTGTTGATAAGAACATTTCTGGGGCCCGCCCTCTCCTCCGTTGACTCCTCTGAGGCAGCCATAGCAAAAGTGGTTCAAAACATTAAAGTTCATGCTCAATAATCCAGTGAACTTTGTTGGATTTTTTTTTTTTACCTGGATTATTGAGCAGGATCTTTGATTAAACTATTTTGGGTTTGTTGTTGTTGATTTTTGTTTTGTTGTTGTTGATTTTTGTTGTTGTTGTTTGGCGATGCAGTTCCTCTGGCATCTTCTGGGGTATTCTGACTGTTTTGTATGTTAATCTGCTTCCAAAATTTTGAAAATGGTAAATACTCCTGCGGCATGAAAGTGAGATCCTGCTACTCACACAAACAATTAGGGAACCCTCACAAATGTTTTAACATAGTTTGGAGACTCCCTCATGATTGCGGTTTTGTAATTTGTTCCAAACTTTCGCTGCCTGGTGAGATACCAGATTTGTGGGGAGGGCTTTAATCCCTCGGCATGCACATATCCAAACTCCCATTAACTTTCATTGCATCTAAACTCAGATTTTTTTTTAATGAAACTGGAAGAGAAGGGTCATCTAGAGTATTTTTTTTGTTGTTGTTGTTGAGACGTTTTGTACTTCATCCAAAGGACTTCATCAGTCCGAGAAGCCACAACAAACTCAGTTCCACAAGCAGCACACTCTGATAGTGGACCAGCCAGTTTGCTGGTAATAAGTTGGTTTCTGGGGCCCACCCTCTCCCCCCGTCGACTCCCCTGAGTCAACCATAGCCTGAGTTTGTTGTGGCTCCTTGGACTGATAAAGTCCTTTGGATGAAGGGTGAAACGTCTCAGCAAAAAAAGAAACCCTCCAGATTACCTGAATGAACTTGGTTGGATTTTTTACCTGGATTATTGAGCATGAACCTTGATGGAAGATAAGTTATTTTTTTATTTTTTTACTTTTAATATCTGCTCCATGAAACACTGTGGGTATATAAATGTTGACGTGTCACAACCATAAGCAACTTCCTCTCTTTGCTCAGAAATGATTTCATTACAACTTGTATCTTTTTTCTGCACGTTGACATTAATCGAGGCTTATTTTCTACTCTGTTATTTGTCTGCCTGTCTCATTAGAAGTACGTAAGAGGGAGCGAGAGCCACAGATGGATGGTTACCACGGTGAACCTAAAATGCCACTGGCAGCAGCTTTAACATTTTTCTTGTTCTTGGTTCTCTTTACTTTTCTCATACAGTTTAAGAATCCAAAGGCTGCCATTTTGTCAGATTAGATTATTGTGAAAGTACATCCCAAATTACTGCTGGGCTTTAGAGGAGACATTTGATGATGGTAGATCTTCAGGAAGTGGTTGCACTGGCCTCTTCAGATTTCCTTCAGTAATTCTCTAGTTTTTTAATGAACAAGTTGCCTAGAGTTGAGTATAGTTGTGAATGAAAGGCCAGCCGTCGCCAGATTTCATCCAAAACAAAATATTTTCCCATATTTGGATCTACTCAGCTCAACTTTTTGTGCAGCTTTAATATCCAACCACAACTCATCTTGAGCAAGTTGTGTGTGTTGGCAGGCGGTGATGGTTGAAGCCGATTTGGAGCGAACCAAAGAGGAGCTGAAGACTAAACTGATGGGTGTCCAGATCCAGAACTCAGTCCACCCTCAAATACTTGAACACGACGAGACAGATGAGAGCAGTGCAGAGGCGAGCGCTGAGCTGACTTCTCTGTGCATGGTCCAAGACCGCAGCGAGGAGGAGAGGGTAACCGAGACGCAGAAGAACCAGAGGCTGCAGAAAAACCTCAAGGTAAGCAAGAGCCTCTGGAATTGGACTCGAGCTTTGCTTTACACTCAGAGGTTCATAGTTCTGCAGCTGCCTGCAGCTTTTCAGAGTGTGCGCAAATTTACTTAAAAAGCCAGAAAATTGGCTTCTGAGAAAGATGCTTCGTAAATTAGAAAGCACTCTTTGGTGAACGGTGAGACGAATGCAGCAGCGGGTGAATGGCCGTGGTTTTGTTAGCAGTCAGTGGGTGAAATAATCAACTGGAACAAGGTTGCATTAGTATAAAAACACAAGTTTGTTCTAATTACCAAGTTTTAGCTCTAACAGCAAATGGCCACTTTAGTTCATGTGGTTCGAACAAAATGACAAGATGCAACAAATTACCTCCTTCCTATAGAACTAATTTAATGTAATGGTTCGTATAGTTTGTTCAAACTGCTTTGTAGCATTTAAAACCTTCCTAAAATGGCAAGTTAGTATTTTAATATTGGTTTTGGACTTTTAAAATAAATTTGCTGTTTTGTTTTGATATGAAACCGTAAAACAAATTCTAAAACAAATTAAGTCGGGTCCTCTGGATGGATTCAAAAAGTTTTAAAAAATAAAAAATAATTAATTAAAAAATAAAAAATGTTAAATAAAAAATATTTTAAATTGAAAAATTTATAATAAAAAAATATAATTTTTTTTTTTAACTTTTTTTTTTTTAATTCTAAAAAAAAAAAAAACATTAAAACAACAACAGATTTTTCCACCTGGATTACTGAGCGTGCATCAGGATATGTGAAGCAAATTATTTTCCATGGAGTGCAGTGGGGTCTAAAATGATGCAGGTAATGTGCTGTTTTTGGCTGAACTATGCAGCCTCAGCAGGTTCCTGTCTCAGGTTAACCGGTTTATCGTCTGAGACCTAATTCAGTGTGTGTTGCAGGTGGTTTGGTATGTTCTCCGCTGCTTGTTTTCGCAGAGATTTTTACTCTCATGTAAAGATGTCAGAGCATTTACTTTCACAAATTGTGCTTTGCCAGAACTAAGTGCACTTTACCTAATTAAACATCACTGCGCTGGTGCATTATCGTTGTTTTCTGTTTTATCCAAGTTGTCTGTGTGACCTCTGTGTCTCACAACCGGAACAAGATATCATGTTGTTTATGTGACTCACAACACAAAATGGTCTGAACAGCCACCGACAATAAAGTGTTTTCAGACTGAGATGAGAAAATACAGGAGAGGTTTCTGAATCGAGCTAAATAGAATTCCTTTTTTCTTGTTGTTGTTCTGTTTTCCCGCAGTTCCTGAGCACGGAGCTGGCCAGAGCTGTGGACGAGAGCAAAAAGACCCCCAATGACCTGATACACGCTGAGAACGTGAGGGTAGGCCGCGACAAATACAAGACGCTGCGTCTGATTCGTCAGGGCAACACCAAACAACGCATCGATGAGTTTGAGTCCATGTGAGGCGCTTCTCTGATTGCCCACTCAGGCGGAAAGCGGAATGAGGATTGATAATAAATTAGATTTTTTTAGAAGATTAGGTGATGTTTTGGGGGGTTTTGTGTCTGTTTGACAGCAAATTATTTATCATGTTGTGCTGCGTTGTCTTTAATCTTCCACAATGTTTCCTTTGAGAGGATTTTACTTGAAGAATTACAGTTGTTCTTAAAATAGGTCACATTTTTATTATTACAAGCCCAAACATAAAAAAAAGACGAGAAAAAAAAAAAGAAACTGCTCTGTCTGGTCCAGAGTTGTAAACTTGTATCATTCATGTGATTTCGTTTGTCCTCAACTGTGCAATTACGCACAACTGCAGTTTAAAAATGGACGTTTTTGGAAACAATGCTAACTGATTGATAGTGTTTGAGGGGATCGCTGCTATTTCAAGAACGCAGAAATCCCCCTTTGTTCATCTTAGAAATAAAGATGTCAAAAAAAATGAAGCAGCACAATCGTGTTGTGAGTGTGTGCACACCAGTTTCCATATGAATGAGTGAGCATCACATCCAATGAGTCTAACGAGGCATTTTGTCAACAATTATCACTTTAAAAAATATAGGTTTTTTTTATCTGTTAATAACAAAAGTTGTAAAAGAATTCACAAAATCATCTTTCATCACTGCACTTCTTCACATTTAAGGATTTTAGAGACAAATAAGACCATTTAACCAACATTTAATGTTTATTTTCATGAATAATAAGAAGATTGTGAGTGTACTCAGACATGATTTATTTAGTTCAGGTTTATAAACTTCTCGGATTGACTACACTTGTTTTGTGTCCAAATATAAGGAGAGCAAAGTTCAGCCTGGATTTTACTCACACAAATATCTGAAGGGATATTCTGCCCATTTTAAAGTGAGGTTCTGCAGAAAAATTTATGAACAATAAAATATTATTTATTGAAGATAGCCCTTTCAATGATCTCAGTTTGAAGATACGATGTTTACGCTCAACAGGATGGATGAGCTAACAAAGCGCAGCCAAGACAAAGAAAACATGAGGACAGAAGCAAAAAAGGGCAGGGTAAAACCTGGGAACTGGACTAAACATACACAAAAAGCACAGAAAATGTCCAGACGGTCAGGGGACCATCCCAAGTCAGGTCAGAGTACATGGCAGGTGGCCGGGAGGCCGTCCAACGGGCTGAAGCAGGTCAGGTGGGCAGCTGGGAGATCATCCAGCACAGGGCCAAAGTTCAGGTGGGTGGCCGGGAAGCTGTCCAACATGCTGGGGCAGGTTCATTGATTCTGAAGATCACCCAAGCAGCATGGGAACCTCAGGTTGAGATGAGGTGAGGTGTTGGGATCAGCTCTCACAGAGGTACTGGTTGAAGGCACTTGAAACTCAGCCTCACCGGGCTGAGCAGAAAAGACTGAATGAGTAGGTAACAGCTGCGCGGACTGTCCTCTGGGTTGGTCCCCCTTCGTCTGCTCCATAGACAAGTTGAGGTCAGACTGCCCCTCCCCCTACAAAAGTTTCCATGGTTCTTTGTGCAGCGTATAGGGAGAGCAGGGCAAAGACTGGGGCTGTGGTGCATTGGGTCCAGTTTTTAGTGAGGCTCTGTGCAGGGGTGAGGTGTCGGATCCTGCCCTCACCGGAACCCTGGAAGGTGAGGCGTCAGAACCCGCCCCCCACTGAAGCACTGGGACCGATTCCAAGAAACTCAGCCTCACCAGGCCGAGTCAGGTCAGCTGAGCATGCAGGAAGCGTAAGCTTGATGGACTGCTTCCGGGTCTGTTTTCTGCCACTCCTGTGACTGAGGTGAGAATGGGGGACAGAAACGAAACAGAGCTCGTCCTTCGGCTCTGCCTCCTCTCCCACCAACCAGAGTAGTTGAGTGGCGCTAGAGATGAGGGGAGACTAGGTTCAAAGATCAGGTGGTCTACCCAGAGCTGAAACCTCTTTCTCTCCTCTTCCAATACAAGAAGAGGTGAAGGCAGGATCTTTACCGCCTGCCTGTGGGGTTCTTGTGGCTGGGTGGGTTCGGTCCAGAACCCACCGCACCGGATCACAGACTCCTCCATTCAAGTCTACCTATTATGTGATAATCTGCCTGCTGGGTTCTGGTTTGGTTGGTGCATACTGTCAGGGTTTCAGGCTGAACAGGACAGGAAAGAACCCAATGGTGCAGGCAGGACTCGGAGGCCAGGGCGTAAAATATAAATAATCAAAATAACAAGATGACATGGCAGCAAAAACTTACAAGAACAGGTCATGGAACTCACATGGAACACAAGAGGATTACCAGACAATGCACCGACACTGAACAGGACTCACAGACAGATTTATATACACAGACAAGACAGGCTATAATTACAAACATCTGGACAAGACACACAGGTGGAACAGATCAGGGCAATCAACAGGGTGAGACACTATGGAGTACAGATGCAGGGGGACCACAGAGGGCACCATCCTTACAAGCCTGGGGTCAATTCCAGCTGGAATTTTATTATTTTTCTGAAATATACAAGTAATGTGAAACTGATGCCATTGTGGAGGTTTAAATATTAGTATTTGAAAGAAGCACATTCATCCATTATCTTTACCCGCTTCTTCCTTTTTGGGTTGCGGGGGTCACTGGTGCCCATGTCCAGCAGTCAATGTGTGAGAGACGGGGATGAGTCGCAAGTCCATCACAGGGACACATAGAGACAAGTGAGACAAACAACCATTCACTCTCTCACTCACATCAAGGAACAATTTAGAGTTACCAATCAGCCTAGCATGCATGTTTTTGGTCTGTGGAAGGAAACTTGAGTACCTGGAGAAAACCGACACATGCACGGAGAAAACATGCAAACTCCACCTTGAAAGGCCCCAGGCCAGGATATGAACCAGCAACTTTCTCACTGAGAGGCAACAGTTCTACCAATTGAGCCACGGTGCTGCCTGCAAGAAGCACATCCATCCATCCATTATCTTTACCCGCTTCTTTCTTTTTTGGGTCGAGGGGGTCACTGGTGCTCATGTCCAGCTATCACTGTGAAAGAGGCGGGGGGCACCCTGGACAAGTCTCCAGTCCATCACAGAGCCACAGAGTCAAACGAGTCAAACATCCATTCACTCTCTCACTCACACCTGGAGACAATTTAGAATCACCAATCAGCCTAACGTGCATGCTTTTGGTTTTGGAGAAAACTGGAGTACCCAGAGAAAACCCCCACATGCATGGAGAGAACATGCAAACTCCACCCAGAAAGGCCCCAGGCCAGGATTTAAACCGGGGCAACCTGCTCGCTGTGAGGCAGCAGCTCTACCAACTGAGCCACCGTGCTGCCCAATAATAATTTAAAATAAATATATATACAGTACGTTCTGTATATACGTATATGTATATATATATATATATATATATATGTATATATGTGTGTGTGTATATATGGGGGGGGGGGTGTTAGCATTATTTTTTATAAACCTTTTAGGAGGAGTGGTGGTGCAGCAGTTAGAGAAGGCAAGCCTGTGATCGGAAGGTCGCCAGTTCCACCACCCGGACCATCAACATCAAAATGTGTGTGGGAAAGTTGAAACATTCACAGCTGCCTCCACCCTCATTTGCCCCGCTCTGAGCCCTTCAGCAAGACCCTTAACCCCCACCATCGGCTCCCCTGGGCACACTGGATAGCAGCTCTCTGCTCCACACAGACGGCTGTGGTAGCTCGGTGGTCTGTGGTTGTGTCAGGAAGGGCATCCGGCATAAAAACAATTGCCAAGTCTTCGTGCGAGTTAGTTCACTATGGTATCACAATCACATTTGTTTTGATGCGTAACCATGGCAACAAGCCTGTTTTCTACAACAACAGCACCTGATTAACATCTCAAGCTAAAATAATATCTCAACTATGGCCCCAACTCTCAAATGAGTTGAAAAGGATGTTATGTGGACGCATTCTCATCTACCTGCCGGCTGTGCTCGGGTGCCTGGCCACTGGGATCGTGGGGCTGGCAGGGGGCACGGCTCGCGGCGGCGGGGGGACGGGATCGTCCCTTGGCGCCTGCAGTTGGCTGTCCGCACCTATGGGGGGCTTGGCGGACTGCTGGGGGGAGTGGCCTTCGCTCTGGGAGGAGTTCTGCCCGGCATTCGGGCGGTCCTGCAGTCCAGGGGGTCCGAGGGGTCGGCTGGGTCTGGGTGGACGGATCGGGCGGCATCTGCAGCCAGTTTCTTGGGATCCACTGTGGGATGGGCCTTTGCAGGGGCTCCTTCCTGCCTGCAGCCATCAGCATCTATAACATCTCTTAATGAAACGAGGATAACGAGTTATAACAACAAAATAATTTCCCTTTGGGATTAATAAAGTATTTTTTAATTGAATTGAATTGAATTGTAACTCCTGAGGAAGGGAGAAGGTGAAAGAAGAAGTTGTATAAACCTTTACATAAACGCACACTGTTATCTCATTATATGTGTTTTACACAGTTATTCTTGCAAAAATAATCTGATATTTCTTCTGGGTTTGTCCTAGTCTGCACTGGAACTGCTACAGCTAGCTACTATGATGTTCATTTGTGATGCAAACAACCACAGTTTTTTATTTTTTTATTTAAACAGTTAATAAAAAAAACTGAATGGTCTAAAAAAAAAAAAGCTTTGCTGACTTTTTCTTTGCAAATGGGGTGGTTATTTTAAAAAGTTTTCTTTGGTCTCATCTGTTAGACCAGAAGGCTGCTGAAATATCAGCAGGCTGCACAGAAGACTGTTGGAGTCAGCCTCCCCATCAACAGGCATCTACACCTCCAGATGCAGGAAGAGGGCCACCTGCATCATGAAGGACCCCACTCACCCAGCACACACACTTTTTGCCCTGCTCCCCTCAGGCTGGAGGTTGAGAAGCATTACGTGTAGAACCACTAGACTGAGGAATAGCTTCTACCCTGAATATGTTCGACTCATAAGTCCCTAACCAGGATAATCACCGTAATGCCACTTTAATTGGTGATATGTAACATATCTGTGCTGCTGATTATCCATGCTAGCTCTGCAGAACAGCGGTGGCTCTGGTTCCAGTCCAACTCTGTTCTATTCCGACTCGGTTCGTTTCTGCAGACCTATCCTGCAGCAATGAAGCCCACAAATCAGTCCTCTAAACTCTCAACTGTACTAATTTTAACAACTAGCTACATATAAGTTTATGTAGCTACTACATTTTACTTACCAGGCTCTGCAGTACAGGAGTGGCTCGGTTCCATCCGACTCGATAGATGAAAAAAGTCCCGGTGCAGCATGACTGAAGCCCACCGCTGCTGCTCCAGGAGCAAGACTGCCCAGGATTTAGTCCTCCACCTCTGGTCCGGCCCAGACCAGCACCGTTTGACCAGAATCAGGCTCAACCCCACAGCCATCTGTCACCTGCAGCTCCCAGGATCCAGTCACACTGAGACCAGATAAGAGTTGCATTCGGGCCCAAAAATCTGATCAGCCCACAGTCATAATTTCCGAACCCCACCCGACCCGATGAATTACAGGTCCAAACCCAGAAAAACAAACAAAAAAAAAAAACATTTTAATTAGTTATTGGGGATGCGCAGCTGAATAAAAGGGGCGGAAGATTCGGAGCAGAGAGGGTGTTTGTACTTTCATGACTGTAAAAGAAACATTTAAACCCTGTTTCTGCCTGCATTCTTCTGAATCACTGAGACACGTGGACAGCTCTGACACACACATCTGCTTTGGGATCTCTCCTGTTTGGGTCGTCGGCCACGCGTCCGCTGAGTGCAGCGCCTGAATGAACGTCCATTTGGGTGATGGATCGCTGCCTGGCAGTATAGTCCCATCTGAAGCTTAACTGAAATTTTAACCTCTTTCAATGCTGGTCAGCTCGCGGTGAAATGGCCACGTGTGGCTGGTGGTTGTATGGCAAGCCATATTATCATATAATTGGATCGCGGCTGATCCTGACCTAATTAAAAGCCCGAGACTGGCACGGCCCGTCCATTAATCACATTGTAACGGCCCGGCCTGGCCCTAATCTGGGTTGGTCCTGGCCGGGTTTGGGGTTCGGGTTAGAAATGACAGCTCTAGTCCAGATCAGCTGCAGCCCAGCTACTCAGCAGTGAAGGAAGGATGAGTTCAGCTTCAGAATTATTTGAGACTTTCCTCCTGCCGCTTCTTTGAGCTTATTATTGTTATTTCTGACTTGGTTGCAAAACTTTTCCCTCCATTTTCAGCAAGCAGCGGTTGGAAGCAGTGTTGACTTCTAGGAAGTGAACTGATGGCTTTTGGGTAACGTAGTTCTTTAGACTGGCAAAACAGTGAAGGCTTAATGAAAGAAAAGTGCAAAATGGAGGCGCATTTTTATTTTTTATTATCATTATTTTTAAATATTATGTACAGTACTGTATGTACGCAAACTGCGATAGAGCGAGTCCACGAAAGTTGAACTGCGAAGTAGAGAGGGACTATTGTAACATATTATTTTACATTATTAGTATTTAGCATATATCTTAGATCCTTTTTTCATTCAACCTTTATTTTTACAGTTTAGTCAGTCTCCCCACCATCACAGACATCTACACCTATAGATGCAGGAAGAGGGCCACCTGCATCATGAAGGACCCCACCCACCCAGCACACACACTTTTTGCCCCTCCCCCCTCAGGAAGGAGGTTGCGGAGCATTAAGTGTAGAACCACTAGACTGAGGAACAGCTTCTACCCTGAGACTGTTAGACTCATAAATCTCTTACCAGAATAATCACTGTGAAATATCACCATGTTGCTGCTGATCTGTTTCATGTTGCTGCTGGTCTTTTTCATGTTGCTGCTGATCTGTTTCATGCTGCTGCTGATCTGTTTCATGTTGTTGCTGATCTGTTTCATGTTGCTGCTGGTATTTTTCATGTTGCTGCTGGTCTTTTTCATGTTGCTGCTGATCTGTTTCATGCTGCTGCTGATCTGTTTCATGTTGCTGCTGATCTGTTTCATGTCTAAATAAAGGTCGAATGAATGTTGCTGCTGATCTGTTTCATGTTGCTGCTGATTTGTTTCATGTTTCTGTGTTCATGTGTGCTCATCTGCTCACGCAGACTCATGTTCGTGCTGTTGTTCGATGTAATGTTTTTATGCTATTTTTTCATTCAACCTTTATTAGTACTTAGTGTATTTAGTTGAAGTTTTTCTTAGTTTTTGTCAGATCTTATTACTGTTTTTATTTTATATTTTATTGTTGGATGTAACTGGGACCCTGCGTGCATAATCTCGTTCCACCACATGTACCACATGAGATGCGAATGACAAATAAATCTCTCTGACTCCGACTAGTCTCATTCAGGACTCATTTACAAGAGAGACCTGTAAATGGGGACCTGTTGTTATTCATACCCTTGTATACTGTTTCTTTTTATACTTTGTATTTTTGCTATTGTTGGATGTAACTGGGACCTTGAACACACAATTTCGTTCCACCTCATGTACCACATGTGATGCGAAGGACAACAAAGATACTTGAACCTTAGCTTCTCCTTTCTGTCAAACACAACTGAAAACAGGTAAGATATTAACTGCTCATGACGTCCACTGAACCACACTTTAACATGGCCAGAATATCCCTCGACTGTTTTCAACTGGACATAAATCAATCTTGGAAGGCTTTAAAAAAAACTTATATAAGGCGGAAATAACATCAGGCTGCAGTAATAAAAGTCGGGTCACGTCAGTAGTGCATCAAACAGCTGACATGTCTGCACGCACATGTGGACGGTGAAATTAAGAGGATTTAGGGTCTTATCGTCGCTGTTCTCGCGAGACCCGAATGACAGGAGAAGAGTGTGTGTGTGTGTGTGTGT